AGTTAGAAAAAGAAGCTGAAAATGTTGGAGGTGGTTTTAGAAGAGGTTATGGGGGTACAGACTGTCAGCAGCACTTGACAGAGAAGGCAATGTGGGCCCAGATCTGGGGACCAGGGGACCCTAAGCCCTGGGTCTCCTCATAGTGGAAGAGTAGTAAAACCTGGGAGGGCTGCAGAATTTTTATGTAGGTGCCAGGAAGGGACATGACTCCACACAGAACCAAGGGGCAGACCCATGAATAAAGCACAGAGTGCAAAACCGAGAGTCTGCGGGAAGCAGATGAAAGGTGAAGCTGAGAAGATGGCTAACATCTGGATTTGCATCCATCCAGGTCATGCTCCACATGACGAGGGTCAGGGATCACCTCAGCTTTCCAGGCTTACCTAGCCAGGGACCTCTGGGTCTGTGTTTTAGCGAAGACAGAATGGGTCAGCACTTTCTAGGAGCAAGGACAGTTCAGGAGAAACCCAAGTTGGCAAAATGATAATGACTGGGTTAGCTGGATAGTCATTAGGTAGGTCAGGGTTGCTACCGCACAAATGTTCCCAGGACTGTAAATAAGTGGGCTCTGCTACGGAGGTGAGCAGACTGCTTGGTTCTGAGGGAGAGCTGAATGATTCCTACTGAGCCAGGGAAGCTGGGCACTGGGCCCAGCTTCCCTGAGAATTCTTGAACGGGTCTCACATTTGCCTCTAACCACAGGGGTTCCACCAAACAGAAACAGAACACTTCATTAGGTCCAAGAGAGGCTGGGGAAATGTTCATTAGTGTTTGGATAGAAGCTGAATTCTGCTGCTCTCTCATTCCTGATGGAAGGTCTCTGTAGTATCTTAGTACAGTGTTCCTGAAGCTCATCAGTAGAAGGGCTACGGTTGTGAACCTCTTCTTCAGTCTGTCCAACCAATGAGTACTTTGAGCTATAGTGTTTAACCATGTTTATTGATCACATTTGCTAGAAAATACTTCAATGTCTCATCAAATATTATGAAAATTCAATCACTAGCTAACCCCAGTGATCTGATGAGCATCAAGAATGAAGAACCCAGAGCAGTCTGGGTATTCTAGGAGTAAAGATGTGTGTATGCTACTACAATATTCTATGAAGAACATGATTTATGTGGGGTTTTTTGTTTTTGTTTTTGGACACAGGGTCTCTCTAAGGAGCTCACAGTGGCCTTGAACTCATGGTGATTCTGCCTGAGCCTCCTGAGGACTAGAATCACAGACATGTGTACCACCATATCTAGGTCCTGAATGTATCAATATAACTGCGACATTTTCTTTATACATTTAACTTCTATTGCTAAACAATACTACAAGAAGATAGGGTTGTTACTATTCATGTTTTACAAATGAGAAATTTGATGTTCAAGGTACTAGCTAGGCATTGTGGTACATATCTGTTATTCTAACACCTGAGAGGCTGAGGCAGGAGGATAATGAGATTAAGACTGTTCTGGTCTTACATAGTGAATTCCAGACCATCCCAGGCTACTTAGTGAAACACAGCCTAAAAATAAACACCACTACCACAAACACACACGTATAAGTTACCAGTCCAAAGTCACCAAAGTAGTAAGTGACTCAACCAGACATATGTCAACTACGTGTCTGACTCCAGGTTCCATGACCTAGTCACTCATATCTTAGTTTTTTATGTACTCTGGTACTGTATTAAAGCTGAAAAGTGAGTAAAACCCTCTTCCTGTCCTTAATGATTGTATATCCTAACACAGGAGGCAGACAAGTCAATGCCACCACAATCAGTTAAATAGAGGTCTCTGGAGTTCTTCACATGTCCCATGGGAGCACAGAGGTCACATCTGGTAAACTGAGATGTAAGCATCAGACCTCTCATGGCTTTCAGCTAGGCAGGGCAATCTCAGCTCAAAGCAGCATGGTGGCCTGGGATTTCCATGTCATCTGTGTCTTTGGAGGCAGGGTTGGAGTGAGGAGGATTTCAAATGTCTCAAGAACTGTCAATACCACAAGAGGCTTCCAGAAATTCCTCTTGGCCCAGGGCATGTGTGTGAAGGTAGCCATTGCTTTTGAAGGGTTGGGGCTACGGTGAACCTTTATCTGGGCTCCTAAGCACCCCACTAATGGCCTGTGTGGAAGGTGGGGAGGTGGGAGTGGCTTTTGTCAGGTCACCAGTTTTCCTTTTTTGAGGTGCTCATGTCCCGGGTGACCAGGTTTGATAGTACTTAATCATTCAGATCATGCAGGGGAGACTTAGGATTTTTTTTTTTCAGTTTTTCAAATTTATTTTATGTGTATGGGTGCTTTGCTTTCTTGTATGTCTGTGCACCCTTTATGCATGTCTGGTGTCCACAGAGGCCAGAAGAGGGAGTCAGACCCCCTGGAACTGGAGTTACAGACAGTTGTGAGCTGCCATGTGGGTGCTGAGAATTGAACCTGGGTTCTCTGGAAGATCAGCCAATGCTCTTCACTGCTGAGCCATCTCTCCAGCTCCCAAAGGAGCCTTGTAATTTCTTTGGACATGGCTAGGGAGCCATGTCAACGTGTGATCCTTTGCACTGTGACACTAAATGTGGGTAGCCTATGCCTTCTGACTCTTTCTGACTGGAAGGTACTGGCTTTTCTAGGCCCAGAAGCCCAGTCCACCTCAAACATCTTCCTACTCAAAAGTTCTTTATTTGACTTAGGGCTTCATTCCCACCGTCTTTCCCCAAATAGTGTTATTTGGCTATAATATTAGTCCATTAAGAATCACAGCTAAATAATAATAATATTACTATTAAGGAAACCAGAGCTGGAGAGAGATGAGCACATGGTGAAGGGAACATTGGGTCACAGAAGGCTTGACTGTTGACGAAGAACTCCACGAAAAAAAATCAAGAGTGAGGTTTTGGCTAAGGCTCTTATAGCAAATGCCGTACTGAGTGTCAAAGCAGAAGCTGCAGTTACAGTAAGACAGGACAGCCATAGTTGGTTGTTCTCAGCCCTTCCCTCCCCTTCGAGACCTACTTCATTACTAAACATAAAATAGAGGGCACTTAGAGTACAGTTTAAAAATTCTGTTGATTTCTACCAGTAGTACGTGTGTATATGATGTGTGGGCATGAGTGCACACGTGTGGAGGTCAGATGATAACTCTGTGGAGTTGGTTCTCTGTCTTAAAGATGTGTATGCGGGATTAAACTCAGGGCCTCAAACTTGTGTGACAAGTGCTGTTACAGGCTGAGATGTCTTGTTGACTCTAGTTTTCTTTAACACACACACACACACACACACACACACACACACACACACACACACACACTTCTGAGCATGGTGATACATGGCTTTAGTCCCAGCAGTCAGGGCTGCTGTGAGCTCAAGACAGGGCAGCTAGGGTCACTTAGAAACCCTTTCAAGAAAAAAACTGAAAACTAAAACAACTCCCCAAATCTCTCTCTCTCTCTCTCTCTCTCTCTCTCTCTCTCTCTCTCTCTCTCTCTCTCTCTCTCTCTCTCTCACACACACACACACACACACACACACACACAGAGCTCTTGCAGAAAGAAAGGAAGAAAGAAAAAAGAAAGAAAGAAATTATCTTAAAATTTAGATGCAAGAAATCATTCACTGTCCCTTCCCAAGTTTGATCAAACGTCAAACTTCTGCGCCGACGAGACATCCCAGTGTCATGGAAGCACTGATGCCTGGGTTCCTGCCTTAGGTTCCCTGTATGAATATTCAGTAGAGACCCAGAAATCTGCACTTGGGGATGGTGCTGAGGACTGAACCAGAGCCTCAGGAACGCTGGACAGGAGTTGACCATGCAGCTCTGCCCCTCGCCCAGGAGCCTGCATGTTACAAAGGCTGCCAGGGTAACACAGATGACCTTGATAAAGCTGGGGCAGATTTGAGAACCTCAGCCATGGAACATCAGGAATTTAATTTAATTTTTGTTTTATTGGTTTTTCAAGACAGGGTTTCTGTGTGTCTGGCTGTCCTGGAACTCTCTTTGTAGACCAAGATGGCCTCGAACTCACAGAGATCTACCTGCTTTTGCCCCTTGAGTGCTGGGATTAAAGGCCTGCGACACCACTCCGGGAGAACATCAGAGATTTTAAACACGCACCACCTCCACCTCGGTCTCTCACCACACAACTCCCATAGTACTTTATGGCAATAATGACTTTGTAGACTATTTCTGGTTGATTCTTGATCAGCCTGAAGGAGTTGTCACCAGGATCTTTCTCTCAGACTTTCAGTCAGAACTGGGAAGTTCGAATGTGTCCACATTTTCTTCTGCAAGGAAACCTGCTGTCAAGTTATCTTCAGGGCAGTCCTTTCCTGACTCAGCTCTTGACTGCATAGGTTCAAAGTGTGCGTTTCTGCTATAGAATAGACAGAAGTCAAAAGGCAGGGGAGATTTAGCGGGGGTGGGGTGGCGGGGGTGACGGTGTGTCTGAAGGGTTCGGTTTGTGGAGTACTATTTTGAACTTGTTTTCCGCTACCCCAGCCCTACCCTTATTCATTTCCAGATTGCTCCAACTTCCTCTACTGCTCAGGGATTCTTAGGGAATTCTTCCTGGTCTAGCCACATCTGCTTCCCCTTTCTGGCCAGCTAAGTCTGCAGAAGACTGCTTGCTTCTCAGACGGCAGGCAGGCGGGAACCTAGTTCTTTCCACCCGCCCCTTTCCGGCAGGTTGAGAGGAAAGCTCATAGCTCAGGTTTTGTTACCAAGCAACGGGGTTCCAATTGCCACCATTTCCTTCGCATAGTATTACAGACCGTATTTTTAACATTTAGTTCAGAGAAATTGCCGTCATTATGTGCAGTAACTTCCTTTGGAGGTTACTCATTAACCTTAGGTATTTTACTGTGTAATTATAACCGCCAATGCCCCGGGCTTGGAAAACCTTTGAACTCCTTAAGGTATTAGGGGATGGCAGAAAGGATATTATCTGACTTTTCTTCCTTTTCTAGTTAGGTTAATTTTGGAGGTGCCTTCATGCCCCTCCCCCCCGCCCCAAGGGGAAACTCTTCCAGCGCTTTCTTCCTCCTTTCTGGTCTTAGACTCTGAACTAAACCTGTTTGTGTCCAATTTCTTTGATACTGGGCCACATTGAAACTGTTTCTCCTTTGTTTTTAAGTCCTGGGGGACCCTGAGAAGTGGCTGGGAAGTGACTGGCAGACACCCTTTGGCTTCCCGGGGCTCCGTGATGCCCCCACACAATGGCTGGAATTAGATATCCTGTACAGCCTTCTTTTGACACAACGGAAGGCCTCCTCTCGGCAAGCCGCTTTTCACTCCCAGGCTCCGCGGGAGCCAGGTGCATAGCTTCATAAAGCGCCTATTATACAGCCAGGCTCAGTCGCCATGGCTCACACAATGACCCTTCTGATCTGGCCACAACAGCGGGGATAGGTGCCAAGGCTTCAGTCCCCACCCACTGCAGATTTAGGTATGCACTTCGTGTATATTTGCAGCGCCCCTTTCCTCCCCCAAAGAGGGGGATTGAATGCACCCCCAACACACATACTCCGTTTCAAGACAAACAAGACTAACTGGGGCAAACCACCTGCGCGCGCAGCTCCGGGTCTTTCCGGCCTCCGCCCAGACATTCCAGGTAACCCGAGGAGGGCTGGGTGGCCACGTGATCTTGTTGGCAAGGGCGCACCTTGCTCCAGCCGGGACAGGTGAGCCCCGCGCCCTGATGGGAGCCTGCATTTTGCAAACTCAGGTCTGCACCGCCCCACTGCTGCTTAGATCGGGACAAATGAAAGGCTGGACTGGCATTTCGGCTTCACGGAGCTGAACCGCAGGACCCCAGCCGGGGCCCAGCGGCCCAGCACTGCAAGCCTCAGGAAGGCCAGAGCGCAGCGCTGCCTGCCCCGCAATGCGCATCTTTCAGCTACCGAATGAGGGAGGGGCAGTAAGGGACACTTTGGTTTACTTTAAAAGGCTCGAGGTCTTGCTGCTTTTTCTCCCCCAAGTAAAGGGCTGGCAGAGTTTTCTCTGACGGTAGGACCATGTTGTCACACGTGACCTAACAGCTCAACTGCTCCAGCGCCCACTAGTCAATCAGCCAACACCTAAAGCACCCAGTGATTGGTGTTCCCTCTGAGCGCTTGGGAGAAGGCTGGCACCCGCCCTGCTCTCACAGTTTTTATGGGTTAGCTAAGGGTTGGGGAGGGGCGTGTGAACTAAGGAAACGCATTCCATTCTGTGAGCGCTCCCCAGTGCCAGCACTGTGTGGTACCCTCTTTCATTCCTCTTGACACTCTGTCAAGTAGGTATTCGGTTATCACCTCCACTTTACAGGCATTTTAAAGAGGTCATTTGCTCGAGCTCCCAGTGTGGGCATTAGGCTGTGGCAGTCACAATGTCAGAGTCATCGGGACTGCTTCTGCCCACACTGGTTTGTCCTGGTTCCCTCTGGATGGCAGAGACCTTGCCAGGGATTATGGTCCAGAACATTCTTTTCCCATTGCACTTTTTCTTTTTGAGACGGGGTCTTATGCTTAGGCTGGCCTTGAACTTACCATGTTGCTGAGGATGACCTTCAACTTTCCAACCCCTGCCTCCACCTTCTGAGCAGGCATGGCAGAACTTTTAGTCACCTTGTCCCCAAGCCTGCCCCTGCCCCTGCTGCTTCTGCTTTGGTTGTGCTGAGGAACCGGAACCGTACTCTGGTGAATTTCCTCTTAGGCAGTAGGGGATCTTGTCCTGCCCTCTGTGGTTTTATTTTGGAGGTGGAAAGTAGAGACCTCACTCAAAACTGAAATCTGCAAAGCCAACCTCCACCAGATGATCCCCTAAATCCTTTCCTCTGACGTCAGTGACATCCAATGCAGCCACTTTCCTGAAAGACAGTCATGTGCAGTCCGTGTCTTACTGATACCCTAAGACTGCTCTACTGTCCAGACATCTTCAACTTGCCACATTTGGTCATTCAGCTCCTGCACCATAACTAAAGAGCCCCAACAGGATGTGGTTTCTCAAGTAGGCCAATGTTTTGATACTTTTTAATAGTGTGGAACCCAAGCCAATAGGGTTTTATGACTCTCGTGGGGAGGCATATCCTTTGACCCGGTATATAATCTTACTTCTCTGGATGCTGGGCTAATTACGGCAGTTCCTTTGGGCATGGAAATAAATGGGCGATGTTCTGATGTTTGAAAATGAACCCCAGGATACTTGTTCTTTATGTTGTGTCCTTAGCCAACCTCCTTGGTAGGGATATAGACCTCCTGGACACTGCAGTTTAAGCTCAGTACCTCTTCTTTCAATTGGCAGCTGAGTACCTGGAGACGAAGGGCTCCATTCTGAATCCACTGAGCATCTCTGATCACGTGGTGATTGGTGACAGCAACAGAAAGAATAGGGGCCTGCTGCCCATCAGTCTCGGCTCGGCCACAGCCACCCCTGTAAGCCTCAGCTCCCTCATCTTGAAGGAAACAAACTAAAAATGTGGCGTTAAAAATCAGAGCAACTCTTGCATTTTATTGTATTATTTTGTTTTGGTTTTGGTGCTTGGGGTTGTTGAGACTTTTGTGCAAGACGTAAGATTGAACTCAAAAGGGGAGGCTGCATGACAAACCCATTGCTTGCCTGAGCCACAGGAAAGCTAGTGAGGCTTCCTGCCCGGCTGCAGTAACTGGCCAGTCGTTCTCAGTGATGGGCCTGCTCCTGGGAAGTACAAATGAAGGGGAGAAGAAACCTGGAAATGGAGACTGGCTCCACATACTGGGTTGCCACAGCTCTTGGATCAAGGAGACATTATTGCATTAGAATTCTTGATGTTTGAGGGCAGAGTTTTAATTTACCTGAAGCTATGAATAACAAAGACTGCCGGTGGCACACACCTTTAATCCCAGCACTCAGGAGGCAGAGGCAGGCAGATCTCTGTGAGTTCGAGGCCAGCCTGGTCTACAGAGTGAGTTCCAGGACAGCAAGAGCTACACAGAGTAACCCCATCTCAAAAAACCAAAAACAGTAAGAAAAAAATCAACCAAACAAACAAAGAAGACTGATGATACAGGAATCATCTCCTCAAACAAGACTCTCAGGAAGAGCTACTCAGAGAGCAGTGTTTGAGCTCCAAGCATGGTTGGGGACCCAGGCGACTCCCAGATTTTGGCTTTTTTGTTCCAAAGCACCAAGTTCATCTTCACAGTTACTCAGAGTCCGTGGTGGCTACCAGACTCCATCCACTGCAAGCACTCCGCTCAGCGGAGGAGGAAGAAGGGACAGGAAGAAGGATGTGCAGCCCAGCTGGGCCAGTCTTCCCAGCAGTCCCTCAGGAGTTACATCAATGGCCAGAACTCGGCATGATGCAGAATCTGTCCTGTGCAGTGCAATGGGTAGTTGGAAGAGTTCTCTTAATAAGAACATGGCTGGATATTGAGAGGTAGTGAGGGTCTCCGCATCAGGGTGGTTGTTAAAATTCTGCAACGGGTTCATTTATTTGGTGGCAATGAGTGAGACCGTGGGGGCTAGATGGAGGGAATGAGGACTGCGTGGAGCATGGGAAGAGCTTGACAAGGTTCTGCAGTTGAGGTGAGAAGTTGGGAGTAGTGCCAGAGGGAGAAGATGATGTCATTAGCTAACATTACGCACACGCCTTTAGTCTCAGCACTTGGGGGGAAGCAGAGGCAGGTGGATCTCTGAGATGGAAGCCAGCCTGATCTACATACAGTGTGAGTTCCTGAACAGCCAAGGCTACACAGAGAAACCCTGTCTCAAAAGCAAACGAACAACCCCCCAAAAGGAAAGAAGGTCATGGATTAGGAGTTGGCCATGCTCACTGTGTTGGGTGGGTCACACTGGGGCTGGTGCTCAGGGATGTTGGTGTGACCATTTCCCAGTGAACACTGAACCCACTGTTTAAAAATGTCCTAATGTCTGTAGATGTCTTAATGTGTCACATGTATTTTGGGGTTTCATAAGTTGCTACTTAGGGTGCTCTTAATTGTGCCAGAAGAAGGATTAGGGTGCCTCTTTCATCTGCAATGCCCCTGGGCTTAAGGGACCTGAGAGTCATGGCAAAGTGATGTTCTTGTGCCCCCCTTCTCCCCTTCCTTTCCCTCCCCAATCCAATCCCTGCCTGACTCTCAATCTATGTGGTGGTAGGAAGCATGAGCCCAGTGTCCCAGCTACAAAATCAGAATAACACAGATTTTAAGATGCTTGCCTGCATATTGTATATTTTAATAAAGTTTGAGTATTTAACAGTTTAAGCCAAAACAATCCACTGGCACCTCCCTCTACTAAATCTGCCTTTGTCTTAAAACCCCGGGGGTTTGCCAATGTTCTCACTTGCCCAGGAGTCAGATTCTAATCCAAATGTGGTGCTAAATTAAGTGTTAAGTACTAAGTGAGGCTTTGAAGGAGTTGAATGGACACTAGGCAGGGCTCCAGTCCTAACTGGAAACGTCCACATCCACAGCAGGTCCAGGGGTACCCCCCCTGTTCCTTTCCCACCCGAGTCTTCCTGCCTTACCCCTGAGTCTTCTGTTCCTAGGCTGCCTCTTGCTGCCTTCCAAGTCCTCAAACTTCACCCTCCCCATTCTGCTTCTTCCTCTCCCCCTTTAATCCCATGTTTTGTGGGTCCCAGCATCAGAACCACCCACAGTCTGAGCAGGCCTACAGAATCAGATTCTGTAGAGGATGGTGGACAGATTCAGGGGTCCCTGGCTTTGGAAGCCCTCCCCAGGGGTTCTCCAGCACTTAGTAACCCTGCTCTGTCTCAGAAGTCCACAAGCTTGCCATGTGGCTCTGTCTTGTCCTGGCAGGTTCTTGAGATGGTCACATTCCTGCAGGCTTTTTCTTCAGGCCACTCCTCAGAGACTCCTTGACTCTGACCCCCTCTCTAGCATCCTACGTGACTGTATTCCTGTAAGGCTCCAGGTGCTAAGAAGGACCCCTCATACTAGCTATCTGTTGTAACCCTCCCTCCCTCCCCCAGAGTTAGGTATTTTTCTACCTGCTTATGTGATGAATCAGGACACAGCCTAAGAGGAATAGATGCATTGAGCTTTAGTATGTTGGAGAACATCACAATAGATGCATAGAGAATGCATGGGTGAGAGAATGGTTTGCTCAGGCACAGTACTTCTGCAGACTCGGTGGGAAACCTGGTCTTGCTGTTTGTCTTACACTACTTACTAGGACCCCTTGGTGGGAAGAGGGAAGAAATAAAGGGTGAGGTCTGGGTTTGGCTATCGAAGCAGACAAGCTGTGGGAACCTTTGAAGAGAGTGATGGGGCCAGCCAGGGGGGTCCTAAAATGAGACAGACTAGCAGTACTGAGAACAATTGTGTGGGGCCAGGGAGAAACCTCCCCGAGCAGGGTGCTTGCTGTGCAGACATGGGAGCCTGAGTCTGAGCCCCAGGACTCCACAGCCCATGTAAAGAAAGGTTGGTATAGTGGGGCACTTGTAATCACAGTGCTGAGGAGCCAGAGGCAGAAGGATCCACGCGGCTCGCCAGCCTAGTTGAATTTGTGAACCCTAGCCCAACGAGAGACCATGTGTCAACAAAGACTGTGTGAAGGGCTCCTGAAGAATGACACTCAAAGCTGACCTGTGGTCTTCACACTCATGCACACACAGGCACAGGCATCCCCCACCTCATTAACACAGACACATACAAGTTGTGTGCTCTTCACTGATGGTTAATTATTATAGAACTGGGTGAGTTGCGGGTCAGAGAGTAGGAGAAAAGGAAGCTGTGGATTGAGGGATGGCGTGAACAGTTTTAGTAAACATCGTGTCCCCAGGGGAAACATGGAGCTTAAAAAGACACTCTGGATATTCTTCTTTATAAGGTTATCAGAAGTGATCCCTTCCCTGGCCACAATTTGTATATGAAGCAATGCAAACATATGGCATGAAGGTGTTGGGAGACAGCAGTTAAAATCACGGTAGGTAAACTGAGTGAGGCCACTACTACCAAGGTCTTGCGGGATTTCCAGTCAGTCTTGGTCTGACAGAAAAGATTTTGAAAGGCCAGCTCTACCCGCTCCCCCTACCACCAGCATGTTCTCCCCTCAGGCACAGGTTAATGACTTGGGGTCCCTGGGGAAGTTGCTTTCTCCCAGGAGCCTGCCCTGCAGCAGCTGGAAGAATCCTGGTCACTCCAGCTGTCAACTCTTAGTCCTCTCTGTCTGGCTTTGGCCTCTTGGGTTTGTAATGTCTTGGTTGATTTGCTTGTCCAATTTGTGTGTTCTTGGTGAAACATGTAATGGTGGAATCTGATTGCTTCTTCTGAAGACGCAGGAACAGGTTTGGGTACTGTGTTGCCGAGGCTGCCCATTCTGTGCTGGTCATTGTGACTGATTTACAGTCATTGTTGTTGATTTATTTTAACAGCATGTGGGGAATTCTGGTGGGCAGAAAAACTTTGTATCCCTGTCAGTGGCAGAGTTCACAAGCTCATCTTCCTGGTTCCTGGGAGTTCTAGGAGTTTGCTTAGCAACTGGCCCGGTCCATGCCTGTCTTTGCTACTGGTGCCCCCCAACACTGGACACTTAAAATGGAATTGTGTTCAGGACCAAATAAGTATTTTGTATAAATGGTGGGATGGACCTGAGTCTGCCACCCAGTCCAACAAAATGAGGGAGAAGAAAGCCAAAAAAAAAAAAAAAAAAAAAAAAGAAATAGCAGAGGCAGTCGGAAGTGATGCTGGTTAGGGCTTGTTTTCCTGGCTCCTGTGGCCTCATTCCAGCCTGTTGCTATCAGCTCTGGCCTGTCTGTGGGACACCCTTGTGCAGGGACCTCAGAGGAAGGGAACTTCTACATTTCTGTTTGACCAGGCTCCTTGCCAAAGTCTGAGTTCAAAGTGCAGTTTCCAGTAATTTGTGGGGACTTCTCTGTGGGTTCTCTGGACCAGAACAGAAGCCTGTAAGTCCAAGTACTATTTCCTAATTGCTGTCCTTCCTTGTGAAGAGAAGGAAGGTAGTTAAGGAGCTGGTAGCTAGGGTTTTTTCCTTGTCCGTGACTGGGCCTCTCCATCCCTGGTCATCCCCAGCCCTTCCTCTTCCATCCCATGTAGCCATGGGGAGTCTGGTCCAGAATGAAGCTGGATTTTACATCACTGCCTTACAGTTCCCCCTTCTTAGAGCTTCAAGGGAAGCCTCTGCTGTCCTTTCTCCTCTGCAACCCTCCTCTCCACACCCTGCACCTTCCTGTCTCTTAGAACATCACGGTAATTGGGAGTGGACCTTTGTTAAATGAAGGTGTGGGTAATGGTGCTGTCTTATCTCAGAGAAGTGTTTGGTAGAACAGTGGCCTTTCTATCAGGTAGAGACACACAGGGACAGTGTTTAAAAGAATTGTGTTTTCTCTGGCTCTGGATGAGTCAGTCTTGACATGGGAAGGACCTGGCTCAAAGATGTCTTCTGCAATTGAGCAAGGAGAGTCGTAGGCCGTTGAGATCTTGAGCCCCGCCACACAGGACAGTGGCCTTTTCAGACAGTTACCCTACCTCACATCTCCTAAGCCCACAGAAGCGAACCCTGGGAGCACAAGGGAACGTGGAGATAGTTCCACCCACACTCAATTCTACAACACACTTCTTTTCACTTGCTAATCCACACCCTAGACACCCCCATGGTGGGTTTCCTCCAACCTGGAAACCCAGTTCTAGCAATTTTCCACTGTAATCTCCTTCTGTAACATCTTAATGTTCTTCTGTAACACTGTAAAGTCCTTCTGCAGCCGCTGGACTATGGGTAGTGAGAGGAACCCCTATAGATGAATTTGTCTACATCTGTCTAAGAAATACAAAGCCATGTTGGTGAAAAATATCATTTAAATATTTTTATTGGAAAGTCAGTGCGCTCTGAAACTATCTAAATATGTATCTCCACAATACCAAAATAGCTCATTAAAGCTTTAAAAATACTTCTCGGTTGTATGACTTTTATTATACAATAAATGGCTTGTGTAACTTCACTCTTCTTTACTAAGTTGATTTTTAAAAACAACTTAGATGAGCAAGTTGGTTATTTATTCTTAAAATGTGGTATGAAGGCATGGAGAGTCTTAAATATCTCTGTAGTCTTTAGTCATATCTAAAAAAAAACAAACCAAAAAACACCTTTTCACAAAAAAACAAACCAAAACAAAAAAACCAAACCCAAACCCAGTTAGTTGCCTGGCTAAGTCTGTGGCAAACCTTGGCGATGACAGAGAGGCTTTTAAAACTTCCCCTTGACACTGAACCAAGCAGATGGCTCGATGAAGCGCTTGCAGCATAGGCTTGGGGACCCAAGTCTGGATTCCCAGCCCCCACATAAGAAGGGGGGCAGCACACTTACATAATTCTGGCTCTGAGGAAGCGGGAGCAGGTAAATTCGTATTGCAGGCCAGTCAGCCTAGCTGATCCAGGTTCAGTGAGTGACTCCGTCATGAAGAGTAAGAGGACAAGGGGCTGAGGAAGATACTGTGCTGATTTCTGGTCTCTATACATGCATTCCCATGTACCTAGACGAACATATGTACACACACACACACACACACACACACACACACACACACACAGCCCTTAAATGTCAGTCCAAATGTCAGTCCACATCACAATAGAATGAAACTAAGCAATTTAGACTCTTGGACAAAGATTGTCATCACAAGTCGGATCTCTTCAAGCAGGGTGTGGCTCCCCAGACACAGCTGGTCAGTTATTACACACCGCTGTGCAAGAGAACCCAGGCATCTCAAGAAGGTCCTGATGTCAAAACGGAACCTGCACGTGTCACTTCTGCGGATTCCTGTTGCTGCCCACAGTTGGTTAACTGCCCCTCCCCCATGGAACCTCAGGGGACTGTGTCATTCTTCACACATGCTAGTCCATGGAGCTGTAAAAGTCCAGTCAAGAGATCAACATTTGGTTCTTTTGTGAACTCTCCCCAACCTCCTCCAACAGTCACCCAAATGCATGATGGGAATGGCATGTGAAGGCTCAGGAAAACTGAAGTTCTGAGGGAGAAGTATTTTTATATTTATACAATTTTTTTAAAAGATTTACATATTTATTATGTATAGTGTTCTGTTTGCATGTATCCCTGCAGGCCAGAAGAGGGCACCAGATCTCATTACAGGTGGTTGTGAGCCATCATGTGGTTGCTGGGAATTGAACTCAGGACCTCTGGAAGAGCAGTCAGTGCTCTTGACTGCTGAGCCATCTCTCCAGCCCCTATTTACACAATCTTTAATATTGTATTTTAAACTTCACTAATGTATTAAAAGGACTGCAGAGTCAGTGGGCTTTTAAAATAAATGTCCTTTCAAACATTTCAAGCACATTGTGGAGGATGTTTCATGCTACAGTGAGGTTGGAGAGTCTGGATGTTAGAGGAACTTCGGGGGTCGTATGTTCAGCTTTTCTTGTCCTTATGTTTGGGTATCTTGGAAAATATCTCGAAAACAACCGTGCTGTAGCAGCTGACACTTCCTCCCGGTTTAGGATAAGGATCACCAGTCACAGACCTACAGGACTTAGATGGACACAAACAATCCACTTTCTGTCTTTGACAAAATGCAGGAAGCAGCCACATCGATCCGGTAAGCCTTGATTAGAACAACTCGGAAGGGGGACGTGATGGCAGAGGTGTGTTTAGTGTGTTTGAGGTCCTGGGTTCCATCCCCAGTGTGCTTGTGTGCACTGTGCACACCCACACCCTCACCAAATGAAGGCATTTGGAGTGATTATTCACACTGTGGAAGTATCCCTCCCTGCCTGCGTGGCTGTGTAACCCCGTTCAGGCCACACTTTCACTGTGGGGTGTGAACCCCCTTGGGTTCTTCAGCTGAGGTGGTTCTGCAAAATCGGTACTGACTCTACACCTCTCTACCTGCTGAGCCATCTGACTGGTCCCTCCTTTGGTTTTTTGAAATCTTTAATACCTGGATTATTAACTGTGGGTGGAAATAGCAAGTTCTTACAGTGTCTGTGTTAGCATTCCAAGCATAGCCCCTTTCTTCCAAGATTGCCATATCAATTATTATTAAAAGAACATTCAACTTTTAAAACTCAAGTGACTTTTCCAAGCCAGGTCTTTAATCTCAGACGTAAATCTCGCTCCAGTAAGAAAGAGAACCAGGCAGTGTGTTGGAAGAATCTAAACTCAAGAGAAACAAAAGATTCAAAAGATTAGGCATGGAATTATTTCCGCAGCTTTTGCTAACGAAGCATGTTAAATTAAAAACCTGCCTTCCTGCACCCATCCAGAGTGCAGATGTGTAAAGTGAGAGGATGGATCCAGATGTGGGTGCTGTCCTTCTCTAACAATTCTGCAGGCATGCTGCAGGTAAGGGTGTCTGCATGCTGGCCTCCTTCTCCGCCTGGCTTCAGGGTCTCAGAACTGCCAAGAGCCAGTGAAATGAGCTTTCCTTTTTGTCTTTGGTTGTACTGTTGAAAGAACAGAAGATTCGGTTTATTCTGGAGCATATATAAATGACTAAGGTCCGTGAACAAACATTTTCGTCTCCCCCAAATACAGCATTCCAAAATGGAAGCAGTTTCATGAGGTTTTATAGTTTTACAGAATGGATTAAGTCCTAAACCAGGTTAAGTTTAAAATACATTGGTGGGTGTGTCAGAGAGGCGGTTACAGCAAGATGAGAGCTTAGCTATAGGCCCAAGACGCTGTCTGATGATGTATCTTCTTAGTTGCTGGATTGGTGGGATCCAGGGGTCTGCTTGGTTAACAGATCCCCAAACATTTTTATCTACTAGTCACAGGATGTTAGCTCTGATACAGAGGTAGGGAGGAATTCAGATAAGGAATTAGCCTCCGGGCCTGCATCAGGTAAGGAATTAGCCTCCGGGCCTGCATCAGGTAAGGAATTAGCCTCCGGACCTGCCTCAGATAAGGAATTAGCCTCCGGACCTGCCTCAGATAAGGAATTAGCCTCCAGACCTGCCTCATTCCTGTCTCTCCATCCTACTGCGGCTCTGGTAAGTCACTCAGTCTCTGCAGACACAGCTTCTTTCCAGGATTCTTGTTCACAGGTGGCTTGGAGTGATTCTGTGATGTATTATAAACACACAACATGCCTTGAGATCTCCAAATACTGAGCGTCATCAAGAATTTGTGATAGCCATACAGGGTTAACACAGAGAAGGATTCGGTGGACACGTCACACCCTAGAGGCTACAGATGGTAGGTTTGGTGATACTCTTTTTTTTTTAAAACATGTATTTATATATTGTGTGTATGTATGTGTACTCCAGTACATGTGTGGAAGTTAGGGGGAAATTCTGGGGAGTCTATTCTCTCCTCCTACCATGTGGGTCTCAGGGCTGAACTTGGGTCATCAGGCTTGGGAGCAAGTGCTTTTACCCGCTGAGCCCTTCTGTGGGCCCTTGATGGTATTCCGTTGGCTTAGGCGCCTGCTAATCTTTCAGCTTCTCAAGGGTTTCCTTCAGTGCTTGCCCAGAGTTTTTATCACGGTAACAGCCTCTCTCTTTCACTCTGTCACATTTACTTCTCTCAGTTTCTTCCTTTCTTCCTTCCTTCCTTCCTTCCTTCCTTCCTTCCTTCCTTCCTTCCTTCCTTCCTTCCTTCCTTCCTTCCTTTCTTTCTTTCTTTCTTTCTTTCTTTCCTTCCTTCCTTCCTTCCTTCCTTCCTTCCTTCCTTCCTTCTTTCTTTCTTTCTTTTTTTCTTTTAGTTTTTTTTTTGAGACAGGGTTTCTCTGTGTAGTTTTAGTGCCTGTCCTGGAACTCACTTGGTAGCCCAGGCTGGCCTTGAACTCACAGAGATCTGCCTGGCTCTGCCTCCCGAGTTCTGGGATTAAAGGTGTGCACCACCACCGCCCAGACCTCAGTTTCTTTTGTAAGGTTGGTTTTGTTCAACTTCCAATTCTTTTAAGCTGGTGCAAGGATCAAACCTGGGGCTTCACACAGCTTAAGTGATAGTTTTACCTCACGTCTGCAATCTTCTTTTAAGAATGTTCACGTTGAGCTAGATGTGGTGGTGTTAATCCCAGTGTCTGGCTGTCCGAGGCAGGCAGAACTCTTGTGAGTTCGTGGTCAGCCTGGTCCATACAGTGAGTTCCAGGACAGCTTGAGCCGCTTCAAAAACACAAAGTGAGACCTTTCCTCAAAAACAAAACAACCAACCAACCAAACAACAAGTTAACAGGTTCAGTGGACAGGCCTGCAAGCCCAGCGTTCTGTAGACTGACACAAGTCTGGGCCAAACACGCGATGTTTGTGGCTGAGCACTCCGCCAACATTTATTTTCTGTGCTTTGATCAGTTATGAGTGTCCATGTTAACCACCATCTACTGCATAAAGAGACTTTGATGAGATCTGAACACTGCACTAATCTATGGTACGGAGTTATAAATTTAGAGGGCAGTTTGATACTATACCCATTTAGCAAAATAATAGTAGGTTCACCTCTGTGACCTATGAATTACTGAACCATTCCCGACCATGGGTTTTGGGACAGATTTTCTATGGAGCAGACCTCAAATCCAATCAGAAAGTGGTTGGTTACCCCCATAACACTTGGGTCAACAATGGGCATATCTTGCCATGCTGGTTATTATAGTAGCTCAGAGGGGCTCACAGATGAATAAAACTATTGATGACCACCCCCCCCCCCCAGCATTCTACATAGCTTCTTCCAGTACTATGAGAGCTAGTCAACAGGGAGGAAGCTTCCTTGTCAGTACTAACTTGATTTCTCCATGTCTTGTGGCCAAAGTGTGGTATCTTCAGCAATGGGGTCATATCATCAAGTTCTGGTGAGCGACCAAGAGCTTGATCAATAGCCTGTATTGCTTGGGGGGTGTCTCAGGGTCACCCCTAATTGACAATTTGAGGGGTACTCTCCCATTATTGGCACTGACACCAACGGGCCTTTTAGTTGTGGGCTCTGGAGATTGAGCTTGGCACCGTGAGCTTGCAGGACATGCCCTTCACTGACTGAGACCTCAGAACTCACCCCTGCACTTGTCTTGTATACACAACGAATACCCTATTTCTCACCTATAGAATGACGGCAGTGGAATTAATTTTCTAATGCTTTGGTGAGGACTCAGTGAGACAGTGTACGGGAGCAAGTGTATCTGGCACCTTGCCTGCACACAGTAGGCATGCAGTAAACACTAGCTGTTACTTCGTGAACCAGTAACAAGAACGACTTAAACATACTGAACCTGGAGGTGTTTCCTCCACGAACACGCCTTAGGGCAGAGTGTGATTACAGCACATGTAATGGAGACTCCTTTTATAAATCCAAATCTAATAATGGTAATAATAATATATACATACTAATTTTTTTATCTACTGAGCATTAATCTAAGATTTCATGGATGGTAGTCTAGTACTTTACTCCTAGGTAGTATCTTTAAGCCAAAAAGCTTATATGTGTATTTGCTTAGTATAACAACATGTAATTCTGGATAATATATACAGTTGGATGTAGGAGAGCAGGGCTGTGTTAAAGAGGAAGTTGAAAACTTAAATGACTAAATAATATATTTATGTTATCAGCATATTACTGATACCATGATAAAAGTTACAAAAGAGACACATGTGTGCATACACAATAAGTACTCAATGGAGAGTTTTCAAATACTAATAGGCTTGTCTCAGAGGTGCTGGGATTCCCATCCTCACATGTTGGTATATTGAATTTTTTACAAGAAGCACAAATTATTTATGCAGTCAGGAAAAAAACAGTAAAATCTTTTTACTGTTGGGAAAGAATAAAACAACAGTTTTTTCCATGGCTCTATGTGAGTGGAAGAAAGAGAACTTGGGAGCAGTTAGAGCCACTTGGAAGAAACACCAGGGCATGAGGTCTGAACAGAAGGCAGATTTGTGTGGTGTGAATCTCATGCCTGCTACCTCAGTTCTCTGAGAGATTGCATGAACCACAAGCAATATAAACAGATAACAGATCCTGGAGTTCCTGAAAACATGCACAAGTGAGTTATAGATAACCACATCTACACATGGTTCAGCCACAGGGGCTGCAAGAGCTCCAAATCTGCCAGGATTTTTATAAAATACCATGGTTGCTAAAGTTTTGCTTTATTTATCAATTTACTTTTTAATTATTTATTTATAAACCTTTGCTCGTGGGGCTGGAAGGGTAGTTCAGTGGTTAGGAGCATGTACTGTTCTTGCAGAGCACCCGAGTTCAGTTCCCAGTACTCACATCAGGCAGCTCGCGTGTATGCAGTTCTAGCTCTAGGAAATCCAACGACCCTCCCCAGGACCCCACGAGCACCTGCAGTCACATGTATGAACCTTCACACAAACACAGGCATATATACAGGATTAAAAATAAAACTGAAACACATTTTGGATATATATATAAAAAAAAAACAAACTGAAATCTTCAAAACCAAAATTCTCAAATTATATCACTTCTAAGGGAGGGTTAGGGATGTAGTTCAGGAGTAGAGCACTGGTGACTATGCTTGGGACCAAGTCTGTTTCCAACACTGCGAAGGAACAGCTTGCAAGGTTGAGATTCATTGCGTGTGTGTGCATATGTGCGGAAGTCAGGATAGAACACTTTTCAGGCACCGTCTCTGTTTTTGTTTTTGAGAGTGGGTAACTCTATGGTCTAGAGCTCACCGTGTTGGCTAGGCTGGCTGGTCCTCCTGCCCCAGAGATCCTCCTGTCCCACCTCCCCAGTGCTGGGATTACAACAGTGTGCTTACTTATCATACCCATCTGAGCAAGACATCTCCCCAGATGTCAGGAGTCCCCTAATCTGGTGTTTAAGACCCTAGTTCTTAAACATTCCGGTTTACTTTTTCTCCCAAGGGCAAGTGTCCACCCACCTTCTGCTTTATCCAGTGCTTATCTTTTGTTTGTTTTTTTGAGACAGGGTTTCTCTGTGTAGCCCTGGTTGTCCTGGAATTTGCTCTGTAGACCAGGCTAGCCTCAAACTCACAGAAATCTGCCTGCCTCTGCCTCCCGAAGTGCTGGGATTAAAGGCGTGTGCCACCACTGTCCAACTACTTCAGTACATATCTTGCAGTACCCATCAGATACCTCTATTTCCCTTCACCCATGCCCTTCTCACTCCGTTTATTCTTAATCTTATTCTTCCCTTGAGCTTAGGCTCAAAGCTATCGTCACTGGAAGGGCTGGTGCAGTGACCTGGTCCTTGGGGGCTTCTCTGCCCTCTCCACATCCTGCTTCCTCTTCCAAGGATGTTGCTGGCAGGCACAGGGCAGGTTCCATGGCTGCCCACCCTTGCTCCCTTAACAGACATTGTTCCTCACATGCCACTCTGTCCAACTGGCAGACTTCCTGCAGAGCTTGTGCCCTTTCCTTTTCTGTTTCCACAGTTCCTAATGTGTTGCCTTGGCTATGGTTAGCGCGCAGTAAATATTTGCTGAATGGTAGACCTTTCTTGAAACCAGAAGTGTGTGGCAATCCTGCAGTTAGTGCATGTGTCAAGGCCTTGTGTGGTAACCAACTGATTTGCATAAAAGCTCATCTGTCTAGATAAGAATGTCTTGTATAAACACAGAGCCTTCTAGTGACTTTCCACGCCTCAAAAAATGGGTGTGCACCCCGTGACATGAACCTACATTTGACATAAGTGGGATGAGTGAGAAACAACACCACATGAAAGACATAAAAAGTTTGGAGACCCAGGAACAGGGAAATATTAATAAAGATTAATAGCCGCTAACACTTATATGGATTTTATTACGTGCTAGATTGTCAAAATGCTCTGCGTGGATGAAATCACTCCATCCTTTAAGCAAGCCCAGAGGGAGGCCCGCAGTGATTGGCCCCATGCCAGAGAGGGTGAAACACAACAGAGCTGGCTGCCTGTCCCTGGAAGTTTCTTTAAGCTGCTTAATTGAAATGTGAATGATTTTGTGATTTTTTTATCTTGTAAAATTCCCTATATGGCTTCTTCTACACAAAGCCCACCCTCTCAAGTGCTATATAAATGATACCATGTTCTACTCAAGGTGGGGTTCAAAAGTAATAAACTTGCTTTAAAGAAAAATTAGTAAATGTGCCCCCCCCCCCCGCAGCTGGCCTCCCCCCCGAAAAGACTTTTCTAAGGTAAACAGCCTTTAGGGAGACTAGGATTCCTTCACTGTCTTTCTGTGAGAATGTGTCTTAAAGCTGGACTCTGTTCCCTAGAATTCCAATCTCTCTTATTAATAGCTACATCTGGTTTTAAACCAAAGACAGCTTTATTAGCTCCCTCATTCAAATGCTGTTGGCTGTGCATGCTTGTGATTTCATCCCCGAAGGTTGAAGATTTACTGTTAGCAAAGGATGCGCAGGAGAATGTTCTCATAGTCTCCGCAGGGAATTCCAATGGTTCCAAAATTGTCCTGAGCCTTGTGTTATCTCAGTTCTTAAGGACAAACCTATCACCCAAACAGCTGCAGCAATTTGGAGATAGAACCATCGTGGACACCTTGGGTTTTCTCGTGTTGAGGTTTTCTGTGCCATCTCAATAGGTGATGGCTAATTTCAATCTTCTATGGATTTGGGTTTGTTAAGCTTCCAAGGATAGCCTTTCCCCATGGAGCCTCTGTTTAAGGTCCACACGGAAAGGCTTTGGTATTGCATGAGTTGGGCTCTCCATTCAGCACTAGCATCCTTTAGAATGTTTAGAGTCTGGGCTTGTGAGATAGCTCAGCCAGCAAAGATGCTTGCCATGAGTCTGATGACCTGAGGTCCATCCTTGGAGCCACATGCTCCCAAGGAGAGGATGACTCCTCAAAGTTGTCCTCTGACCTCTACATGTGCACTCTGGTGCACTCTCTCTAATAAATAAGCAAATAGATGTAAAAAAAATAAGTTTGGAACTAATGAAAGCTTTGGGAAATGATACTGCCTCAGGCAATATATGGCAACTTCCCTTTGATGAACAGGTAGTGAAAATCTGATCTAACCTTGTTTTTGCTTGTATAGACTCTGCTCACACTTTATGACGTCAAGAGGTTTTCATTTTTTCTGCCTTTATAGTGATAAAAGAAGTGTAAACAAACAAGACTTGCTTAGCCACGGCTTCAGAAGAAATACAAACAGAACGACAAGAAAGTCTCCCCGTCAGAAGCCTGGCAAAGACAACTGGTGGATAGGTTTTCCAGGGACCTGTTTTGCATTAAAATACCAAATAAAACAACATGATGGATTATTTTGGCACCATGCAGGTTGTGCTTAGGGGATGAGAATTGTATATGAAAGATGGCCAGTTGCTGTCACAGTTGATGGATTTTTTTTTTTTTTTTTTTGTCTACATGCTCAGGGTATGAGCATCCCAAGGCTGGGGAGTGTTTCCAAATTCTACGCCAGGAATGATGCAGACCCTTTCTGTGACGGAGACCGACATTATCTTTCTGGTTGGAGAAGCATCTGTAAGCTGCTCTCCTGCCTGTCATACCGCTTTAGTTCCTAGGACTGTGTGTGGTGTATTGTCATTATCGATACAGCTGTGTGTGTGTGTGTGTGTGTGTGTGTGTGTGTGTGTGTGTGTGTGTGTGTGTGTGTTTTGTGTTTTACTGATGACTTAAAGCATTGGTTAGATTAACAATGCAGTGCAGCACATGTCTGGGGCAGGGAAGAAGCTCAGTTTTAATCTGATGAGATCAGTTGGGGCCACTGGTAAGGAATCTGTCTCAGAGGTCTGGACCAAGGATGGACTTTTACATTGGGTGGAGATGGAGACAGAAGCTTATGGAAACTGTAGCCTGGAGTTTCCAGTGTTCCACCTTATACCCTTGTGATACAGGATGACATATCTCATCAACGGGTCCTTCTTGTACATCTATTAATAAGAGAAATAAGAGACCTGATGTTAACTACAAGGTTAAATGATGAAAAGATATTTTTGACACATGTTCATGTTTGTTATGTAGCTGTGGGAATAAAAATTCCCTTATCTGATAAGAGTTTCACTGCAGGTTGATCACTAAAACTAGCCCAAACCTAACCACCTTTATTTTCATCCAGGTTTCTAATACCTTTACTTTGGAGAAAAAGAAGGATGAAGTAATTTGTAATGGGGCTGGGGAGATGACTCAGAAGGTAAGAGCACTTGCTGTTCCTGCAGAGGACCAGAGGTCATCCCAGCATCTGTATCCATGCCCAGTGACTTACAACCACCTGTAACTCTGGCTCCAGAGGATCTGATGCCCTCTTCTGGCCAGTGGGGGCACTGCACACACACACACACACACACACACACACACACACACACACACACACACACACACACACGAGTACATTCTAAGCAGCTCACTCAGGGTGAGTTCCTGCTCACTTGCCATTTTTCTCCCCTGCCTTAGCTGTACTTGATGGATTATTTATTAATTTGGAAATCAATGAGTTTGAAAAAACTAACATAGCCCGTTTATCACTTTCGACAAAGTAAAACCCCACCCTTCTGCATTCTGCTTATGCTTCTGTCAATAGTGTGAAAACTGTAAAGAACACCCTCCTTGCTGGCACTGGGTTAGGGAAGACTGGAGGTGTGTTTGGACGAGTCTTGCTAGCATTTCCATTGAAGGGCAGGTCATTGCCTTCCAACGCTCAACAGTGTTCCTGGGAGTGAGATAGAGATGGTCAGGAGTTTGCCCAAAATGGAACATAAATGACCTCCTTGTGGCTGCAGGGTGGCTGGACTTAACTAACGTCTCACGTAGGGCACAGCCTTATACCCTTGCCTTTTCTTGTTTATGAAGTACTTTGAAAACAGTTCTTTAAAATGAAAAGCTCCTAACTAGTGTATTTTCCATTTTTTCCCATAAAACACAGTTCTCAGTTTGACTTACCAGCTAAATGCTCCAACTTTCAACTGATTTCACAGAAACAGGATTTAAAGCATGTCCACCCATTGCCTGTAGGAAGTTGATTCATGAGTAATCTGAACTCATAGCCTGGTGAGTGGGGTCTTGGGAGTGAGCTCGTGTTTCATGTGGCAGGAATAATTGCTATTATGACCAAAGGCATGGCTGGCACTGTTTTAAATGTGGTTACAAATTTATTGAGGGGCTGGATCTTTCCTCTTTTCTTGGTCTAGGGTTGTTTCTTACTGCTTTGAAAAGATAAATAATACCATGTGACTTCCAAGATGATGTCTTCCCTACAGACCTGGTAGTCTCTGCTCACTGTAGTACATGTCTTAGAGTGCTGGGCAGAGGCCATCTTCCCACACAGATCTGAAACCAATGTCCTGGTGGTGATTCCTGCTGAGTTCAGCCTCCTGGCCATTCCCACCAAGGTGCATGACCTGGAAGCAAACTGTTCTGAACCCTTTATACAAGTTCAGACACCAGTGGACTACTACAAATCACCTGCATGATGCCCATGGAATATGAGAGTCGCCCAGCTGAGCCCTGCCCGTGTGATGGTAGGAACTGTGAGATATGAAACACTGCTGCTCTAAACCAGAAGGTTTGGAAGTAAATTGGAAAGGGATGAGCAGAGAGGAATTTGGTACCAGAACAGAAGACTTGAAGTGTGGGGTAGTTAGGTATTCACCCAGGCAAAGGAACAACTTGTGATCTAAAGCATCTGAAAATGTGTGTGTGTGTGTGTGTGTGTGTGTGTACACCATATGCATGTGTGGAAGTTACATACCACATAAAAGCCAACCTTCAAGTGAGTACACCAATGATTTGTCCTTCTGTCTGGCATATGACTCAGAACACCATTGCTGCTCAGCTGATGATTGACAGCCAACAGCATTGTTGATTGGTTTTGCTTGTTTGTTTGTGGGCATTTGTTAGGACAGCAGGATCTCAGGCCCTGTGCTGGGTTCTGAATTTTAGGACCTACACTTTCGGCAAGATCCCAAGAGATGCCAGCGTGTGTTACAGCAGGAGCAGCACCCGACTCAGCGTGGATGCCTCCATGCCTGTTACCAATGGTGGGAACCAGAGGTGAGTTCCCACTTGTACTGGGACTTATATACAATGACATTCCCAAAACGTCGCAGCATAGCTATTATCATTTTCACTGTGTAGATGAGGACACTAAGGCTCAGACTTCAAGGGACATGTCTGAGGCCACAAGGCTCGTTAGTACCAGAGACCCAAGTTGCTGAACTCTGGACACCAGCTCCGATAGATTTCTAGCTGGTTTCCTTGGAGGATGTTTCTGAGAGACACTGAGACAGAGACAGGCAGGAAGAATTTGGGGTGTCAGGGTGGTGGTGGTGTAGGTGTGGGTGGTGTGTATTGGGCCATGATCATGCTGGGTAATAGTAGCTTGGTCCCCTGGGATCTCAGAGTCCTCAAAGAACAATGAAGTGAGTGAACTCAATAGCTGTAGGCGGAGGCTGCTTATTCCTGGGGAGTTCTGGGTAGTTGAATGGTGTTCAGTGGGCTCAGCCAGGGCCCTGGCACTGGAAGTCCAGTCAGGATTAAGGTAACAGAATTTGGGGGCCCCAGCAATACATGCTGCACTCCACTTGCTTATTTATGTCTTACAATGAGAGTCTTCACAGAAAGAGAGGGAGACGACCCTGCTATTCAAGTGCTTGCTTTCCAAGCATGGCCAGGTATGGAAGGACATATCTGTCACCTCAGCACTGGGGAGGCAGAGACAAAAGGATCCCCAGCCAAACTGGTGAGCTTCAGGCTCGGTGAGAGATGCTGTCTCAAAAAACAGTGTGGGTAGTGATTGAAGAAGACACTTGGCAACAGCCTTTGGCCTCCACATGTGCCCCCCCCCCCCCCATTCCTCAGAAAGATGGGTTTCTCTTAATTTTGATCTATTGGATCAAAGATAGTTGCCGAATTAACTGAGACACCCACACAGTCCTTATTCCCAGGGTGCTATGCTGCTGGTCAGACATTTAAAGGATGGCATCCAGGCGGCTTCCCTCAGCAGTAAGAAATTTTGCTTTCCCTGCATGCTCCAGCAGCATTGTCTTTACACAAGCATCACTGCATTCTTTTTTTTTTTTAGACTTACTGTTCATTGCTACTCCCCCCGGTGGCTACCAGTCTAACAGGATGGTTCTGCACGGCTGCATCACACCCTCGTGTAGATGCAAGACAACTCGAGTCTTCTGCTGCTCCACGTCCAGGTGGAGAAGCCCAGCCTCCATGGCCCAGGTGGAGGAATACTTCAGCATGCTAATGAAACACGGGTTACTTAACGGTGGCCAAGGACTTCCATGGGTTGTATTAGCACTTAGAAATATGTGCTAAAAGCTGTACTGCCCAGCTTTGAGACAGATGCAGATTAGGTGATGGTGAGGCAACTGGGGAGAAATTAGACTGCAAACAACTCCCGTTAGAAGAAAGGTGATGTGGAGCTTGGAGAGATGGCTCAGTGGTTAAGAGCACTTGTAGCCCTAAGTTTATCTGGTCCCACCCACCCTGCAGTCCTGTGTTTCTCCAGTCCCACAGCACTATGGTCCCATAGCTGCTTATAAAGTAATCATTCAGAGGCTTAATATTAATTGTGAATTATATGGCCTGTGGCTCAGGCTTCTTACTAGCTAGCTCTTATAATTTAACTCAACCATAACTATTAATCTATGTATCACTGCACGTTCCGTGGCCTTACCTGCGTCCCATTACATGCTGCTCCATCTCCCTCCCACTCTCCTTTCTCCTCTCACTATCTCTCTTGGATTTTCCTGTCTGACTCCATCCTGCCCTTCCATAGGCCAATGCAGCTTTATTTATCAACCAATCAAAACAACACATATTCACAGTGTGCAGAGAGACATCCCTCAGCAAGCACTGACTGCTCTTCCAGAGGACCTGGGTTTAATTCCCAGCACCCACATGGCAGCTCACAACTGTCTTTAATTCCAGTTCCAGGGGACCTGACACCCAATGTGCAATGAGAAAAAAAGGAGGAGGAGGAGGAGGGAAGGAAGGAAGGAAGGAAGTGTAGCTTGAGTTTTCCTGCCTGCCCACAGTCAGGACAAATCTCTCTCACCTGCTAGTCCCACAGCCACTCAGACCCGACCAAGTAAACATAGAGACTTATATTGGTTACAAACTGTATGGCCATGGCAGGCTTCTTGCTAACTGTTCTTACAGCTTAAATTAATCCATTTCCATTAATCTATACCTTGCCACATGGCTCGTGGCTTACCGGCATCTTCACATGCTGTTTGTCATTGTGGCGGCTGGCAGTGTCTCTCTGACTCAGCCTTCCACTCCCCAGCTTTATTCTCCTCCTTGTCCCGCCTACACTTCCTGCCTAGCCAATGGCCAATCAGTGTTTTATTTATTGACTAATTAGCAACACATTTGCCATACAGAACATCCCACAGCAAGGAAGGAAGGAAGGAAGGGAGGAAGGAAGGAAGGAAGGAAGGAAGAAGAAGAAGAAGAAGAAGAAGAAGAAGAAGAAGAAGAAGAAGAAGAAGAAGAAGAAGAAGAAGAAGAAGAAGAAGAAAGGTGATGTGCTGATGGGCCAGTTTCTGATGAGCTTGAAAGTGTGGGTCATACAAAACTCCATTGAATTTGTGCCTTCATATCCTGTGTCCTATAACCCATAACAGAAACAGAAATTGATCTTGAACCCTTGACTACATATTCAATAAGTTATTGGAAGTAATGAGGAAGATGTGTACTACCCGACCATATGATTGTGAGTGCATTAGTCAGCTTCTCGTCACTGTGACAACATATTAGAGACAAAGGGATAGTTAATTTTGGCTCACAGTGTTGGAAATTTCAGACCATGGTCAGTTGGTCCTGTTGCATCTTGGGCTAGCAGATCATGGTGAAGCACATGGCAGAGCAAAACGCCCACTTGCCTCAAGGTCAGCTCATGAAGGAGGGAGAAGCAAGGGGCCCAGGAAAGGACCAAGGGACCAGTTGGCCCCCGCCCCCAGTAGCCAGAAGACTCTTTACTAGGTCTTGTGTGATAGTTTCAATGAGAAATGTTCAAATAGTCTCACATTTCTGAACACTTGATCCCTGCTGTTTGGGGAGGTTGGGGAGCCTTTAGGAGGTGGAGTCTTCCTAGAGGAAATAACTCCCAGGGGGCAGGCTTTGAGGGTTTATAACCTCAGGCTGCATCTTGTTCCCTATCTCTGTTTCCTGTGTGTGTGGATGAAAATATGATGATCTACTCACCTTCCTGCTTTTAGGAGCTTTCCTAAGCTTCTCCAGTCTTTGGATTTATTCTTCTGAGCATTTCCTGTTGCCAGAATGAGCAGTGAAAATGGTTTGGTTTGGTTTGGTTTGAAAGTAGCTTGCTATCCTGGGCTGGCCTAGAACTTGTGAACTTCTAGTCTGTATTGCTTAAATGTTGAGATTATAAGCGTGTATCATGAGGCCTGGCTAAAACATATTTTTAAGTTGATTTTTATCATTAGATCTGAACTTTACCATAAAAATGGTTATAACTGATATAAAATGGATGTTATTGATATGGAAATATTAGGGTGTCTTTGAGAGTGGTGGAGCCTTTCTCGGCTCATAGGTGGACTTGGTTCAGAAGTTAGGGTGCTAGATGCTAATGAGCATACAAAGTCAGTGGCCTTTGGGTTCTTGTCTTGTGACTTTGGAAATTCACGGACCACAGAGGTGAGTTTTAGAGAGGAACTTATGGATTCATAGGTGGAAGTTTAAGAGGAAGAGAGAGAGGGAGCTAGAGAATGAGAGAAAGAAGGAGAACAGAGCTTCTATATCACAGGAGGAGTCCAAGGAAGTAGGATACCATAGAGGTGAGAGTGGGGATTTTAATTTTTTAGTATTAAGTTTTTGAAATTATAATTATATACTATGATTATATAATTTCTCCTCTTCCCTTTTCCCCTCAAATCCCTTCCATGCACTCCCCCCTTCTTGCTTCTCTCAAATTCATGGCCCCTTTTGCTTTAATTGTTGATATATATATATATATATATATATATATATATATATATATATATATATATATCCCTACATGTATAAATACAACCTGCACAGTTTCTACAATGTTGTCTGTATGTATATGACCTCCCTTGGAGGAACCAATCATGGGCTCTTCACAGGGACAGACTATTTTTCCACTCACAGAATTTCCATTGCCCGTAGTTCTTTATTTAGGGCTGAAGAGTCTTGAGCTTTTGCTCTTCCACGTCAGCCTGTCCGTTGCTGTCCATGTTGTTTGTCTTGCTTAGGCAGCCATATTGATGAGACTTCATGGTGTATCTTTTCTGACACTTCTAGGAGATACAGTAAGCTTCCTGTTACTCTGGCTCTTACAGTCTTTCTGCTGCTTTTTCTACAATGAACCTGAGCCTTAGGTGCAGGAGTTGTGTTGTGGATGTGTCATTTGGGACTGGACACCACACAATCTCTTGTTCACTGCATTTTGATGAGTTGTGGTTTTCTGTAATGGTCTATGCACAAAGAGAAGTTTGTTTGATGAGGGGTTAAAACCACACCTAGCTGTGGGCACAGGGATAAATATTTGAAGTGCAGTTATGGATTATGCTGGTTTAGGAAAGTGGTGGTTGTAGTTTCTGCTAGGTTTCTAGTACCAGGCATGATTTCCCTCTTGTTCAGCAGTTCTCAGGTCTAATTAGAGAGCTGTTGGTTACAGCCAAGGTATGCCTGCCACTACTGCACCCGTACAGTTATTGTGTCAAGTTGGTTGGTTGTGATTCAGATCGTGTCATAGCTGGGTGGGACTATTGTTTGCTTTCCTCCCCTGGAAGCTTGTATGATGCCTTCTGGTACCTCGAGAGCTGGTCCTCAGGTCAGATTAGTCTGAGGTCCTTTTAAAGGACTTCTAGTCGAAACTGGGGTGAGGCATGGGGAAGGGGATGAGCTGGTCAATCCAGGTGGCCCAACTAGAGGCATTCAGGTGCCTCCCTTCAGTTTTAGCAAGTACTCATGATCAGCCTCCAGTCAGGGGCACTCATTAGGAACTCACAAAGAAGTAGGCATTCTTGCCATTCCTGCCTCTAGCAAGGACATTCTCAGAACTGCTGCTTTGGGGGTCCTTGCCTTGCCTGGCCAGTTTCTAGTTCCTCTTCTCATCACTCTACTTTTGAGTTGTTAATAGAGAAATATTCAACAAACAGCAGTCAGTCTGTGTGGAGAGTCTCATCCCATCCCTTGCCCATTCTTTTTCTGCCTTTGACTTCCACCTAGTAGTCAACACTGTTTTGTAATGTTGTTAGTATTTTATGTTATTTTCTTGTTGCTTTTACTGGAAGAAATTCCCTTTGAGTATGGCACCTATATCTGTGAAATCCACAAAATGCAACCCGACAAACATAATACATTCCAAGCCACACATGCTTATGGATAAGTTGAGAGCAAATATGCCTGAGAAATAATTGCATTTTAAAATTAGTTTTTAATTCAATGCTTAACGATTCATTTTATGTGTGTGCATGTGTGCATGTGTATGTGCACCTTTGGGGTGGGGAGGAGGGTGCATGTGTGTATGGAGGCCAGAGGTCAACCCTGGGTGCTCTTCCTCAGGAGCCACCCACCTGCCTTTTTTGAGACAAGGTCTCCTACTGAACCTAGTTGGACTAGGCTGACTGACCAGCATGTTCCTCATGTTTCCACCTCTCTGGTAATGGGGTTAAAAACCCATGCCGGCATCTGTGGCTCTTTACCTGGGTTCTGAGGATGGGATTCAGGTCCTCATACTAATGTAGCAAACACTTTACCAAGGGAGCCATCTTACTAGCCCCTGAGAAAGAAATGTGGTACTTTATGGCATATTTGGGTTCTTTCATCCAAGCAGGCATTCATTCAATGTCAGAACATACCTTGGTAGACACAGTGATAAAATGTTCTCCTCTGCCTTCATAGGAATACACAGAGGATGCTTGATCCCAGCTGCAGGTCCTTTTCGGCAAGCTAGGTTTGCAGCCCTGAGCTAAGAATCCCACACGTGTGTCCATGCACAAAGATCAACTGCCTCACCCTCAGTGTACTTTTTCCCTGGGCTGAGTTCAGTGTGAGTCAGGAGGAGGAGTGTACTGACAGCAGCTTACTGCTCAGCTTGGTCTTTGTAGAGACATACATCTTTTCCAATGACTGATAATATCAAATTTGCTTTCTCAGTAAAGCAGATGTGAGGATTTAGAGCTGGTTCTTCAGTGTTGCCCCAAACTGGAAATAATCCAAATATAAAGGAGCAGATACAAAGTGCATGGAGCCCAACTGTGAAGAGTAAATGCTGTTATGGAAAGAGCATGAAGGGGTCTCAAACATACCGTGTTAAGTGAAAGAAGCTGTCCTCCAAAGGCTGTATTGCATCAATCCATGAATGCAGAAAGAGCTGTGGGAACAGAAAACAGTTGTTGCCCAATGTTGTGGTGAGGGGAGGGGAGGGGTTGACTCCAGGGGAGTGGGTTCATCACTTTGGAGATGGGACCATTCTCTATCTTGAATGTGGGGTGATGTCTTATAAGAGCCAAAACTAACCTGTAAGCCCCACTTGCCCAAGGACAGATAACTTCCTGGAATGTTGGGGGCTGTGGTTCTTGGGAAATACAAGTCACATGCTTTTGCTCCCCTAAACAAGTTTGTTTGCACCAGATATGCTTGTTCAGATGTAGGCAGGAGGTACGTAGGCAGGAAATACATCAGGATGTATGCTTGCCCCTGATTGGGCCTGATGGGAAATACGGTGGCCGTGTGGGTCTGCCTTTTTAAGCCCTTGCAAAATGTAACTCATGGCCATTTCCTGGGAACCCACAAGTGGACCTGGCCAGAGTCCATCTTCCTGGCCAGAATTTAATTAACACTTGCTTCAAAATTGGCTCAAAGATTGTGGTATAAAAAGCTATGTGCCTGTATGCGTTCGTCAGAACTCACAGAAGTGTACATTACAAAAGGAGAATGTGATGTGGAAATTATACTTTAACATGAAGAGATTCTTCAGGTTCACTGTAGACTGGAGATAACCACTGAGCACTAGGAATGTGGTGGTCTGTAAGAAAGTCCCTTTAGCCAAAAGAGCAAATGTGAAGGGAATCATCTAAACTTGTAAGTGGGCGAAAGCAGGGCAGACAGCAGGAAGAGTTTGCAGTGAGCTCTAACTATTTGTATGACTCCCATTCTGGGGTGTCAGTGAGAGCCTCACCATGGAGGAAACCTTTCCCCAGAGAGCTAGATGTGTGAGGGAGAGGGAGCAGACACTCCTGACTCACAGCCACCAACTTGGCAAAGGAGGCACTCTCCCACAAGCAGGCGATGGTGGCTTTCAAGGCAGGAACTGGTTAAGATTTGTTTGTTTGAAGAAGAATCATGACATTCTGGGAATCAGGCAAGTTGGCCGTTTTCCTGGGCTCCCACCAGCCATGCAGACCTCCTTGCAGGGGCTGGGCTCTCCACACCACGACCAGGAGGGCACACCCTGCTTTAGCCCCAGGCAGAGAGATAATAACAGCATGCTAGCCTAGTAGTCTGTGTGCTGGAAGGGTTTATGAGGAGGAAGTCCGCAATTACATATTTCTGGGCAAACATTAACCAAGATTGAAACCTAGATTTGAAGAGAAATAGCAGGCTGGAATCTTAAGCTGCCCTTGGTAGCTGTTCTGAGGATTGTGAACAGTGGTTAGAGGCTCTTCTTGTTCTGAAAGCTAGACGGAAGGGAAGACAGAGGCGACAAGCTGGTGAGAAACTTTTATCACACCTGTCCCCAGCATGTGGCTGTAACACACAGCCTCTGTTGATGAGCAACGATGGGAAACTATTGCTACTCCCATAACCAAGGCGAAGCCACCACACAGGGCCCATTGTTATCCTCATGCTGATGACCGACTCCATTCATCCCTGTGGCTTCCCAGCTGCCACTGTGCACTGAGAGAGGCCTCTTCTTGGCAATGGCACCGAGAGCATCTCAATCACTTCCTACCATCATCTGAACAATTTTGGTTCAACTCTGTGGTTTTGTAATTTCTATTTTTAAAACTTCGTAGACAGAACAACTCTGCCCAGTTGGGCTAGGCAAACTTAAAAAGAAGCCAGGGAGCTAGAATTAGCTCGGCACCAAGATGGTACAGCTCGTGTTCTTTCTATTTCAGACCAACCACTGTCATTATATGGAAGGTATCCTGTGTCTTGTCCTTACCACACACTTTAGGGAGCTGAAGGGCCAGGAGCAGCCATCAAATAAAGAACCCAATGACTTTCCAGACAAATGCCCCTAACTCCTCTTAGCTTATGTTAGTTAGTTAGTGCAGGGGACGGTTCTCAGAGCAGACGTTGATTTGCAGCCCTTACCAGCTGATCAAGGGTGACAGGACCTTCTCTCAAAGTCAGGCTTGGTGGTTCAGAGTTTAATTTCTGTCACCACAAAGAAAATGCAGGCAAAGCTTTCTCTTAGTGCCTTCACCAAGAACTCATATGTGGATGGATCCAATGAGGGAGAAAACCTGACTAACCACACAGGGTGAAGGAAGTTTTGATGAGGACAGAAGGTCAGAGTTCTAATTTGGTTTCGGTCTGTAGCTGGTTGTGTGGTCTGGGCCCAATTTCACCACTGAATCCAGAGGTTTGAACTCAGATTCTAAAGCTCAAACTTCTGGCATTTCTCAGCTCTTCTGAAGGAAGAGAGAGAATCATTCTCATTCTCATTGTACACCAAGTAGAAAGAAAGCCTCACCAGAACTTCAAGGAACCAGTATTTTGACTTTTTTTCAATTCCAGAATATTGTGAATGAAACTGCTTTGGGGATAAGAAGTCTTGTGAGACAATGTATATTATACACCTTCAAAGTACTTGACTTTGAACTTGTAGGCTATAGAGTTCTAGATGCTTTGCCCAATGAGCTAAAATTTCAGCTGCCCTCCCCAGGTCCCAGGGACAAATGGAGGCAAGATTCTGCCAGAGTTCACTTCAGGGAACCTGTGAGTTTATTGGACTTTTTCATAGAAGATAGTTGAGGGATTGCTTACAGGAATGTGGGTGCTCCTCTCCCGAAAGGCTGCATCTGGAAAGTCTTACTCAGCAGGAATGAGAGCTTTCCTGTAGCCATATAGATAGAGTCCCCATTCCAGTCTTCCCTAGCCTATGTACTCTAGACCTTCCCCCAGGCCATGTGAAATTAAGGCAGAGTTGCATACACCAAGTAGAAGAGAGCACCTGGATACCCAGGTGAGGTTCTTGTAACCCTTCCCAGTCCTCTATGAGAGGGTGTAGTCCATCTGGAACAATTGTTTTGCAAGGGACACAGCTGAATTCCGCAAGATGGAGGCTTTGCCTGTTAACCCCTCATTAGCTTGATTGGGATGGTAAGCAGGGCACAATCACAAGCTTACTTGATGTCAGGCTGCATAGTAGCCTTTGGTGTGCCATGGGGAAGTTCCATGGGCTGTGTCATCTAAAATGGAACACAAGGCTCTTACAATCCCTACTGCTGACTTCCAGGTGGGTCATTATACTCTTTTTTATTATCATTTCCCCTGGAACATTCATTGTTGTGTTCACTAGAAAAGGAAGACCTTGGAGAGAGAGTGGGCAGAGTTACTTTGTCTGGATGGCCTGTCTATTGGTAATAGTGGAGCCTGAGAGGTGGGTTACTGAGAGTGAACTGAGAATTCCACATGAGACTGGAATTCTCTGAATTTCTCCAGTGTCTGTTGTAATGTCTCTCTTTTAGTCTCCAATTTTATCAGTTTGGAATTTCCCTCTCTGCATTTTGATGAATTAACTTTGGCTAGAAGCTTGTCAATCTTGTTGATTTTCTCAAAGAACCAATTCTTTGTTTCATTGATGTGTGTGTGTGTGTGTGTGTGTGTGTGTGTGTGTGTGTGTGTTATTTTGTTTCTATTTCATTGAGTTTGATTATTTCTTCACTTTGGGGGCATTATTCTTCTTGTTTTTCTAGAGCTTTTAGGTATGTGCCTAAGTTACTAAAATAAGATATCTCCAATCTTTTGAGGTGCACACTTAGTGCTGTGAACTTGTCTCTTCATGGTGTCCCATGGTTTTAGATATGTTGTGTTTCATTTTCATTCAGTTCCAGAAAGGTTTGAATTTCTGTCTTAACCCAATTTTCATGCAGTAGTGAGTTGTTCAGTTTCCTTTCTACTGTTTCTATTGTTGATATCCAGGTTTAATCCATGGTGGCCAGATAGGGGGCATAGTGTCTTGGTTGTTTATGTTTGTGTTTGGGGCTGAGGTCTGGGCATCTGGAGTTACATTGGAAGTATTTCTTGGTGTAGATATCTGTTCTTGCCTTTATTGGGCACGTGTTTCCTTCCTTGGTTGCTGTTGCCCACTCTGGGTCCCAGCCAAGTGTGGTGGCTGTGGGATTCCTGAGTCCCAGACAAATGTGGTGGTTGTGAGTCTCTAGTAGAGATCTTATCTGTGGGTGGCAGAGAGTCACAAAGGGATGGAAATTGGCTATAAGGAATGGCTAAAAGGGAGAGCAAGGAAGAACTAGGGGACTCTAGATGCTGGGTTTACACCAAGAGGCTGAGTCCCAACTTCCTTTTCTTCTTTAATTATAGTTCTCTCTGTGTCTCTGTCTCTGTCTCTGTCTCTGTCTCTGTCTCTCTCTCTCTCTCTCTCTGTGTGTGTGTGTGTGTGTGTGTGTGTGTGTGTGTGTGTAGGCCAGAGGTCAATCACTGGTGTCATTCTCCAGGTGTCTTGTTTTTTGAAACAGGGTCTCTCACTGACTTGTAACTTGCCACGTAGGCCAGACTGTCTGACGAGCAAGCCCCAGGTTCCAGGAATCAAACTCAGGTCCTCACCAAATGAGCCATCTCCCCAGCCCTAATTATAGTTTAAAAACATTGGGCTCAAAGCCAGCAATGTGTCTTGTGTTATTTCTAGTTTTTTTTTTTTGGTTTGATTTATGGTCAACATTTTATAAACACACCATGAATTCCTGCCGAGCAGGCATGACAAGCTCTACTGGTCTCTTCCATTCAAGTTCATCAACTCTACAAAACCCAAATTTCACTCATCATTTGTTCACCAGAATTTTAGCTAATGCTTGTCCAGTTGATTTTTACTTTTAAAAGTATTTATTTACTTATTTATTGTGCTTTGTGTGGAGGGATATGCATATGTGGGAGGAAGTATATGTGCCACATTGTGTGTCTGGAGGTCAGAGGACAACGTGCAAAGACTTGATTCTTTTCTTTTACCACATGGGTCTTGGGGACTGAACTCAGGTCCTTAGTCTTGGTGGCAGGTGCCTTTACCTGCTGAGCTATCTCTTTAGCCAGATTGGTTTTTCCACACACTAATGATTACAGGTCTTCTGGCCTTCTAATGTGTATCTTCATATTGTCTGTGCACTGTGGATTTTAATGTAACTATTTTATGCATCAAGGCAGGTATAGTATCACTATGACTTTCTTTTTACTCCCTCTGTTTACCCCCTTCCCTTCCTGTACCCCCTCCATTCTTTCTCTTCCTCCCCCAACTCCCTCCTTCCCTTTTTCCAGTGCTGGTGTTCTGCCCCCGAGCTACACTCCCAGCTTAAGAACTGTAACGATTCTCACAAAGTTTCCTATGTATTTTGTTTAATAATTTTGCTTGTTCCACAATAAACACTGTGACCAACATTTTTGGTGATGTTGGGGGCAATAATTATAAGTTAGATGGACAAAAGGCACCATCCATAAAACATACTGTTCATGCTTTTTTTTTTTTTTTTTTTTTTTAAACTTCTAAGACCAGTTTTCAACAGAAGCCATTACTGGGGTAGGAAGGCAGGCAGCTTCACTCTGGGTTCAGTCCTGACATCCCAAAGGCTTCCGGATTGTCTTCCTTGGTCAGGGCTCTGGTGTTGATATCATCCTCCCCTCCTAACATGGCTCAAACTAACTGCGCCCTATCTGTTGGTTGACCTGTCACCTGGGGACCTCTGCCCGTTCTCCTCCATGGCCTCTGTGGCCACATGTCTGTGGTTTCCTATGCTCTAGCCTTGTGTTGAGAGCTGGGCATATTTTGAGGTCACCGTCTTCTCTGATGCCAGGTCTCTGTGTTCTGTTAGTCTTCCTAGGTCTTTTGGGTTCTCCAAAGTGTCCAAAGTTCTTCTGGGAACTAGTTCATGGGCCTAGCCCTTTCCTTTGGTCAGCTCATGCTGCCTATCTTTCCCCAGGCCATGTGACTTAGTCCTAAAGGGGTGAAAATGGTTCGTGAAAGTGTGAGCCTCTGCAAGCCAAGGACCATCCCAGGTCATGATGTTCTCAGGTTCCTCCATGATGATCGGTCCATCCTTTGGTTCTGGCCCTTTCTGTGTTCATTTAAAAACTGGGACTTTGGTAGATAATTTGTACTTTAAGTCAGAAATGAATCTCAAGCTAGTATTAAAGCATGATGTCATCTTAACACCTTTCCCTCACTAAGTGTTTCTCTCCAGTTACCTGTGCGGCTGCTCACCAGCACATCCTGTTGATTTTATCTTTAGGATGTGCCCTGGCCCCATCTGCTTCTTGTCTCCACCCTTCCTAACAGGAGTGCCTGCTGGCTCAGTTTGTTTTGTTTGGATTTCTACAGGACTTTCCAGATTTATCTCCCTGATGCCTATCTTCATGGCAGCTGAGTGATTATTTAAAAATGTAAATGAGATCATGTATGTTTGCAAGGCCCAACAAAGGTAGCTCTTCGCATCTGAAGTAAGACTGGCCTTGTCTCCTGGCCTCGGCACGGTCTGTGCTTTTCATGCAGCGTTTCCTTCTCAGCCCCTTTCTTCCTCTCTGTGTGCCGCCAGACCACATTGACATTCTCTCTGCTCAGGAACAGTGCACATTTTGAACCAGGTTATCATGTAGCCCAGGCTATGCAGTTTGCTATGCAGACGAGGATGGCCTTGAACCCCTAATCCTCTTGCCACCATCTTCTGAGTACTAGAATGACAGTCACTTCTCCCAAAACTGGTGTTTTATTGTACTAGTGATCAAACCTTCATGATAAGCAAGCACTCTATCAACTGAGTCTCATCCTCAGCACCCACAATACTATTTTCTGTTTCAAACGTAGCACACATTATTTCCTGATTAATCATGTTACTATATTTGTTTGAGACTTTTTTTATATTTGCCTCTGTTTGAGAATGATGAATAAGTTGCATGAATGTTTACATATGCTGCTAAGCATGTGTAAATATGTAAATATGTTTAAACTTAGTATGCTTTTTAATTACACTCACAGTCACCATAGAAACATAATGCAACCCCATTCCTCAGTCCCTGGCCTGCGGCCCTTCTCATGGATCAGGTCTTTAATCTTCAGGGCAGTCTTATGAGGGCAGGACTGTTATTATTCATATTTTATTGTTGACAGAACCAAGACATAAAGAATTGCAATCACTTTTCCTGGCCTAAACCAGCTATTAGGTGGTAAAGGGATTTGTGTCCAGGCAAACTAAGTCAGACAGTCGAGGGTTCCACTCGCAGACTGAGTAGGGACAGACTTCCCATGGTCAGCTGGTGGGGGGAAGGGCAAGTGAAAGAAAAGGCACACCACAATAGGGGAAAGGGTTAGCGGGGCGCGGAAACAGGAAGCCTCATACATTATTAAAAAGTCTCGCTATCCAAGCATGTCAGCGAACACTGCATGGTCTTCACACGTGCTCACACCTCTGCTTCTGCTACGGCGAATACTTGGCATCATTTCTGTGCAAAGTGGGGAGGCAGCAGGTGAGGTGGTTTAATTATAAAACATGCTGAAGGTTAGGAATGCGGATCAGTTGGTAGAGTGCTTGCCTAGAATAAAACTCTGGTGTCTTCGTCACGGTTCTATTGTTGTGAAGAGACACCATGGCCATGGCGACTCTTATGAAAGAAAGCATTTAATTGGAGCTTACGTAAGTTTCAGAGGGTTAGTCCGTTATCATCATGACAAGGAGTATGGCTGAACGCAGACAGACATGGTGCTGGAGTAATCCACGGGCAGCAGGTAGAGAGTTACACTAGAACCAGCTTGGGCTTTTGAAACCTCAAAGTCCACCCACAGTGACACCTCTTCCTCCAACAAGGCCACACCTACTCCAATAAGGCCACACCTCCTAATCCTTCTCAAGTAGTGTCACTCCCTGGGATGACTGAGCATTCAAATATATGAGCCTATGGAGGCCATTCTTATTCAAACCACCACACCTGGGTTCAGTCTCCAGCACAGGATAAATCAGATATAATGATATATGCCTGCAATCCTGGCACTCAGGAGGAGGAGACAGGAGGATCAGAAGTTTGAGGTCATCCTTGGCTACATAGCTACATCAAAGCAAGCCTGGTCTACTGTAGCTGAAGTTTTCTCCAGTCCTCCCTGGCCTATGGTCAGGAAAAATCTCTCTCACCCACCAGTCCAGCAGCCGCTCAGACCCAATCAAGTAAACACATAGAGACTTACATTGCTTACAAACTGTATGGCTGTGGCAGGCTTCTTGCTAGCTGTTCTTGTATCTTAAATTAACCCATTTCTATTAGTCTATAAGTTGCCACGTGGCTCGTGGCTTACCAGTATCTTAATATCTGCTTCTCATCATGGTGGCTGGTAGCATTTCTCTGTCTCAGCCTTCCACTTCCCAGAATTCTCCTCTCTCCTTGTCCCGCCTCTACTTCCTGCCTGGCTACTGGCCAATCAGCATTTTATTTATACAGAGCGATATCCACAGCACTTCCCCTTTTCTTTTCTTTCTTTCTTTTTTTTTTTTTAAAGGAAGGTTTTAATTTTCACATAGTAAAATTACATATAACAAAACAATTATCAAGCAAGAATTACAGTTACAGTCTACGTCAGACCCTGTCTCAAAAACTGAAACCAAACTGAATAAACAGTGAAGAAAGTCTGCAGAGGTGATTTTTTTTTTCCCTGCAGTGATTTTGTTGTTGGGCTCATTTATTTTTTATAGTAATTATGAGAAAGAATATTTTAAATGTGGTTTGTGGAGGACTGAAAAGCGAACTCAATGATGGGGAGAAAGATCTGTTGACTCTGAAAACTCATTTTGAAATAATCAGGTACTTCGCTAATAGGTTTTTTTGTACCTGGATAATAGGTTTCTCCACTGACGCAGTAAACCAGATCAAGCCAAATTGAAAAAGTGTAAGAACAGGTTTATTTGAACAAATCAACTCCTGGGTGGGTTCTCCAGTCCCAGAGATTTCGAAGGGTGATGACATGTCCTCCACAAGCTGGTTTGTGCCCAAGTATAATCAAGAGCTGGAATACTTAGGTAGGGACTTGGGCTGCTGGTGGGAACAGGGGAGAAAGTTGTAATAGTCACCAGGAATGGGGAACTGGGCTTTTTGTTGCCTTTTCTTTGTTGGAGATTCTCTGAGAAGGCGGGGTTTAGAGAGAGAGAGAGAGAGAGAGAGAGAGAGAGAGAGAGAGAGAGAGGGGATGGGGCTTTCTGGATCATGCAGCAGTGATCTGGAGATTCCGACTGAACAGTTACATCATATCAGAGTGTAGGATCATGACAGAGTGCGCGATCCCCATAGTCAAAGTGCTAATCTGATCCCAGGTCCACCAAGTCACTGTGGCACACACACCACGTTGAAATAGAGCACTAAATATGATCAACTGCATAGATTGAGAAATGGCTGCCATTCCAGCATACTCTGTAATGATACAGTGCAGGAGGCCTGGGCGGGTTGGGCCAAGGTGGCCAGTGGAAGAGGGAGACATGCCATACAGATGTGGTGGCAGGTGGTGTAGCATGTTGGAAAGTTACTCACACCCCAGGCAGGGCATCCACGTGGAAATTTATTGAGAGAGAGAGAGAGAGAGAGAGAGAGAGAGAGAGAGAGAGAGAGAGAGAGAGAGAGAGAGAGAACGAGAGAGAGAGAGAGAGAGAGAGAGAGAGAGAGAGAGAGAGAGAGAACGAGAGAACGAGAGAACGAGGAAGGGAGGGAGACAGGGAAAGCAGAGGTATGCACACCTCATGGCAAGAAAGGAAAGAAGGGGGAGAGGAAGAAGGGAGGGGTTTTCCTTAAAAGAGGATTTGTCCAGACGCAGGGCAGGTCCCCAAGGGTCGGGCCAGGATGCCAATACTCCTCACTCCAGCCTGGCGATGAGTTTTTGACAGCCACTGTGTCTCTCTCTGGTCCCTGTGAAATTAACTCAGGAGACTTGAATGTTGGACAATCAGTGGTCACCAAAGCTGTCCTAAGCCAGTGGCTCCTGAGTCTCCTGTCTCATACAGAAAGAGAAAAATGGACAAGGAGTGAGAAGAGAGAATGAAGGTCTATTAAGGAGAGCTGTCTCTCCAACCCCACAACTGGTCATTTTTGAGTGTGTACTGTGAGCTGAGTCAGTACATGGCTGATATCCCTCTTGCCTGACCCCTCCACTGAGTCAGAGAAGTCATCATCTATTACCCCTCCAAACGGGGACTGGGGTGGTGGTGATGCACCATGGTCACGTTGACCCACTTTCTCCCAACATGTTTTGCTCATTTTGAAGGCTACTGATTAAGTTACATTCTACACCACTAGCTAATGACCCACCACAGGTCCTGCCTTCCCTTCTGGGAGCTAGCTCCTGTTCCACTAGAAGCCAGCCTAAGACCCAGAGATCACTGTATTTCAGCCTCATAGTAGACCTAGGTGTTATG